CAGAGTTGAGGCAAGCCACAAGCATGGGTGAAGTTGCAGATTTCTAGCAATGAAGATAAGCTACATTTTGAATGACGCCTCCAGAGAAGTGTGAGAGTTTTTCTGTTCTAGACAGTTTATAAGGAATATCTGACGTTTTTATGGGTTTGGTTGCATTGAGAAATTCTGAGATGTGACAAGTTGTGTGTGTGTCTGTGCATCCCTTCCCTCGTGCATGTCAGGGCGAAGAGCAGGTCTGTGTGGAGGTGCTGGTTACAGTCACTTCTTGGCTCAACTTTTATTTCCAGAGTCTGAGCAGGACTTTGTGCTTCCTGCACATTGGCTAGTAAATCCTAGTGGATTTCTGGGGTGATCTTAAACCATCAGATACTGGAGGGATTGGAGATGTGATATTTTGAATGGTTCAATTGGTGTTTTATAGGAGGTTTTCTTACATCATTGTGTAATGTATAGTAGGCACTGGGTTGGGCCAAACACCAAATTTGGGGATAAGAAAGAATTTTCTCCAGCTCCAGTTGCATGGAATATTGCAGGAGGGTGTTGTTCTGTGGCACAGGCAGTGAAACTGAAATCTGGCTGTGGGCATCACTCCAGGCATTTGGGTTTAGGGTTCTGAAGTTGTGTTTGTCCAGGAAACGAGGTTTCTCTGTTCCCCTCATGGCTGGACTTTTGAGGTTTGTCTCATGTACAGCTCCTCTTCCCAGGCTGTGGGATAAACCAGGCACAGTCCTGTCTGAGAATCACTGAATTATTTGGAAAATCCCTCTGTTTGGATCCCCTCTGTGAGGTCCAACCATTCCCCCAAGCACTGCCAAGGCTACCACTGACCCTGTCCCCAAGTGCCACATCCACAGTGCTGTTAAATCCCTCCAGTGATGGGGACTTCTCCCTGCCCTGGGGAGCTGTGCCAGGGCTGGACAACCCTTCCCAGGAGGAATTTTCCCAATATCCAACCTGGGCCTCCCCTTGCACAACCTGAGGCTGTTCCCTGGGAGACCTTACAGGAGTTGGGACATCACAGAGAGGCTGTTGCCACCAGAAAGAGGAAGGATTGTTCATGGTTCTGAGGAAACATTAGTAGGTTTTCGTTGTAATCTTCTACAATAGGTTTTCAGGCATTTTTTGTGCTTTCTGAAGGTACAGACTGGTAGGGAATTGGGGGAATACTGAGGGAGGTCTTAGTGGGAGGAAAGTTTTCATTGGGAGCAGTGAAAACTGATGATGATCAGTGAGGGTGAAGCTGCCCTGGGGCTTACCCTGCTTGCACTGGCTTTGCCATTCCCACTTTCCCAATCCTCCAGCCACAGCTCAGGTGTGCTCTGCCCAGTGGAACCTGGACCAGCTCCTTTTCCATGGGTGGGATCTCACTGTGCTCTCCTCCCCAGAGCGTGGCTGACTCCTCCTGGATCACAGAGCTGCTCTGGACCTTCTTCGTTCCCTTCACAGTTTATCAAGTAAGGTACTACGTCTCTCTCTTCCGTTTGGGGCAGGGTTGAGGGTGGGCAGGGCTGTGGTGTCACCGTGGCAGTGAGAGCTCCCTCCCTGGGTGCCTCAGCAGGGCTGGGCTCAGCACCAATCTGGGTCTGGCCATGTCTGACGTGGAGAGGGCTCCTGGTTCCTGTTGGGGAAGGAGAGGAGTCTCAGTGTCTCCAGGTGTTTAGTTCAGGTTGCCAGGTGTATTTTTGAAGCTGGGCTGCTCAGTCCAGCAGTGCTGGCCCCCAGTGTCTTTGTCTGTCCCTATGATCCCTTGGGAGTGGGGTGATGATCCAGGGGGATGGTGCAGGGGTGGTCCAGACCCCTTCCCAGGGCCTGGGTGTGAGCCTAGGCTGGCTGAGTAGCTTTGCTGCAGTGAGGGCAGTGGAAGGGACTGGGAATCAAATGTAGGGCTTGATGTATTTCAGCAAAGGAAAGCCTTTCCCTGGTTCTATCTGCCTGAATTCTGGGTGACCTGTTTTCTACTTCCATGTTAATGGCCACATATCCTCATTAAAGCCTTTCTGGGAGCTGCAGATCCCTCGTGTTACACTTGAGGGCTAAGGGAGCTCCAGTGAGCCAGTTCTGTCTTCTGTCATGTCCTCGATTTGGGTGTTGGGGTTTGGTGCTCCTGTGGGGAAAGGTGTGGGGGTGAGCAGGGAGCATGGAGGCGGGGATGGCATGGCTGCCCCTGGCAGGGTGTCCCCAGGGGCTGCTCCCAGCAGGGCTGGCTCCATGTGCTGTTGTCCCCACTCAGGTGGATGCCGTCTGTCCCCAGACAAGCAGATGAGCGGAGTGAGGACTTTGCGCTCCGAGTTCAGGAGGTAGGAAGGTGGTGTAGGAGAGGGATGTGTAGGACTGCTGCACTTTGGGATGGGCACAGAGGAGAGTGGGGTGCAGGGAGAGTTGCAGAGGGCATTTCTAGGTGTGTTTGTGTGATGGGAGCTCTGGTACATATTTATTGCCCCTTGGAAGAACTCGGTTATTTCATGGCTTATTTGCCACCTCACATTGAGGCTTTCTGCAGTTGTCAGGGTTCTTCCCATCGAGTTCAAACCTTTTACCCCCTTTCTATAATGCCACAAATCAAACAAAGCAGTTGTTTTTCCACCTTGCCCATATATGCTGGGTACTTCACAGCTCCAGACATCTCATATCCCCTTGTCAGCCTGTTTTGGCAGGATGATACTGCTATTCCTGGTCCTTCTCGTGAAATGAAACACTGAAATGCATCCCAGAGGCCCTGGAGAAATCAGTTCCTAGCCCTCTTGCCCTCACAGTGGCTCCACGTACCCCAGACATGCTCCCCAGCATGGAGGGGCTGCCTGGACTGTGTGTGTTGTGTTTTTTGTGTGTCTCCTCTGCGTTCCACAGCTCTTGGCCATGGAGCTGGGTGTGGTATCCACACGGATCACCGCTGCCGACAGGACCGAGCACATGAAGAGGCTGAGACACACGTCACGGCTGCCCTTTGCCCCAGGTGGGGGTCCTGAGGGGGTCCTGACTACAGAACCTCAGCCTGGGCTCTGCTTTTGGGGGAGCCTCTGTCTACTCTCAGTGACAGACTGCCCACTTTTAGTCCCTCACCCTGTGCCCACTGTCCTTTCTCCTGCAGCCTCGAGCCAGCGCCCGGCAGCCCAGCCCAGGGTGCCCCCCAGCCTGCCTGGGGGTGCTCCCGAGGACGTGAGGGTCGTGGCCATGGCACAGCAGGTCAAGGAGGTGCTGCCTCACGTGCCCTTGGAGGTCATCAGGACAGACCTGGGTGAGCAGGGACTGGGGTGGCAGCAGGGATGTAGAGGCACCTTCTGTGGTCTGAAGGAAGAAACCTTTTCCCCACTGCACTGGTACACACTGGCAGCCAGGATGGAGTGTCCTGATCTCTAATGGGTCTCTTTTGTTCCTGCAGTCCAAACCAATTGTGTGGACACCACCATTGCCAACTTGCTGGAGGGGAGAGTTTCTTTCTTCCCTGAGAGTAAAGAGACTGAAGACCTGCCTGCCCCGTCTACCTCCCAGGCTGCAGCTGCTTCTGGCATCCAGGGCTCTGTGGCTGCGCCTTCTTCCAAGGTACTTCAGGGTTGTGTCTCCTTGCTCTGGTGGCTCGTGTTCAGGACTAGCCAGGGGCATGGATTATCAGCCTGACATGCCAGATCCTTCCAGAGCTACCAAGCAGACCCCTGCTTCATCTGTCTCCTGATGGCTCCTGTGCTTTCTCTTCTAGCCGGCTACAAAGCAGTTTGCAAAGTCCCCCGTGGAGCGTCACCTGTCCTTGCAGGAGAGAAAACGAGCCTTGTATGACTATGCCAGGAGGTGAGAGCCCCCCACACCACCCTGTGCCAGGGCCACACAGAATCTCCCCCCGCCCAAGCCCCAGCAGCACCCGAGGTGCCCCAGGCACTGGGCTCTCCCGTGGAATGGAGCCCCCATGGGGACTGGGTTTCTCTGGGGTCCCACTGACACCCTCGGTGTGGGCAGGATGTTCCTGTTTGGCACCAGGGACAGCGCCGTTAATCCTCCTTGGTGTGAGGGCACAGGGAGTGAGTTTGGTCTCTGTGCAGGGTTTTCATGAGGCAAATCCTGGGACAAGAGGCCAGTTCTGGTCTTGGTTTAGGAAGACAGAGAAAATTGAGGATATGTTTGAGGGGAAGTTGAGTGTGCCTGGGCTTGTTGGGCAGTGATCAGCTGGGGTGGTAAGGGAACCATCCTGTTGGGAAACCTGGCTGGGATCTGCTGGGACACGGGGACTCCTGTGGGTGGTCCTGGGAGACCGTGAGCTGCTATGGGCAGCCCTGGCTTGGTCCATGCTCCATTGTTTTTGTTCCCAGCTGGGACTTTACCTTCCCCATGGCCCTTCCAGAGCAGCTCCTGCTGCCTTCACCCATTTCCCTGGGCTCCAGGCCAGTTTGGAATGAAACGGGTCTGACCAGAGCCAGCGTGCAGCCAGGGAGTGCCCGGCCCCGGGGTGCTGCAGTGTCTCCGGGTCCCGGTACCTCGGGGCTGCTTCCTGGCCAGACGGGCGATCCCCGGGTGGGTTTGCGGGACACTCCTCAGGTGGTGCCAGCGGTGTCTGAGGGCGCTCTCTCCCGCAGGCGGTTCGCTGAGAAGCACGGCGCGGCAAGGGCCGGCGGCAGCCCCTGACCGGGCCGGGCCGGGCCGGCGGCAGCCCCTGACCGGAGCCCCTGACCGGGCCGGGCCCGGCCGTTGGCACCGGGAGCGCGCGGGCCCCGCGCGGGCGGGACGGGCGGTGCGGAGGCGCCCCCTGGCGGCGGAAATAAACGGCGGCAGCGTCCGGCGCGGCTCGGGCTGTGCGGGCACCGGGGCGAGGGGGCGGGGCCAGCGGGGGGGGCGGGGCCGGGCCGGCTCCGTGCGGGTCTGCACGCGCCGCAGCCGACGCCTGCTCGCGCGCCGCACGTAGGCGCCGCTTAAAGAGGCAACGCGGCGGGGCCGCCGCCCCCGCGGCCGGGCGAGCTGCGGCTCGCGGGCCCAAGCGGGCGGAGCCAGCGCCCCTTTAAGAGACCGGTGCCGGTGGTTTTATTTACATGGGGGCTCGCGGGCGTCACGTGACTGTCAGCGGCGGGGGCTGCGCGCGGAGCACCCGCGGGGCCATGGCGGGAGCCGGCGACGACGGTCCGAGGGGAACCGGGGCACCGGGGCGGGATCGGGGCAATGGGGGGCCCGGGCGGGCCGGGGAACCGGGGGCTTCGGGGCACCGACGGGTTTGGGAGAATGGGAGACCCGGGCGGGACGGGGCACCGCGGGGTTCGGGACAGTGGGGAGCCCGCGGGTCAAGGGGCTGACGTGCACACATGGGGTGACCGGGAGTCCCGGGTGGTTGATGTGCGCTGTGGATGGGGAGCGGCTCAGTGGGGAGCCCAGGCGGGGTTTCTGGGGGACTGATGTGCACCGGAGGCCAGGGATTGTGGGGATCCTGGGCAGGCTGGTGGGCACCGGGGGTTGGGTCAGTGGGGGCATCGGGGGGCTGATGAGCACCGCGGGGGCAGAGGCAGCTGCAGGTTCCGGGAGAGGAGCCCCAGGGTGTACAGGACATCCCGGGTCGGGGACTGCACTTGGTGCTGCTGCAGTCTGCAGGCAGGGGTGCAGGGTGCGCCGGCAGGGCCTCCCGGCCGGGATGGGGTGAAGGGGTGGGCCCGGGACAGCGCAGGGGCTGACAATCCCCCCAGGCTCCTGGGTGGAGCTGCGGTGTGGCCCAGGCTGCCCCGAGCCCGAGCCTTCTCCATTCTCCTGCCACGCCGACGTGGAGCGGATGCTGCTGGAGGCCCAGCTGGAGACAGAGAGCAGTGACGGGTGAGTCCTGAGGGGGAGCCAGGCTCCAGAGCCCTGCTGAGCCGTGGCTGGCGCTGGGAGCCACAGGCTGGGCTCAGTGACCAAGGGTTTCTGTTTGCAGGACCCTGCTCGTGCTGGGGTCCCCAGCCTGGGATGACGACGGAGCCAGCCATGGGAGTGATCAGCCAGGGGAGAGTGAGGTGCTGCCTGCCCACAGCCAGCCCCTGCCAGGCTGCTCCCACCCCCGGCAGGTGAGGGAGCTGCCCCCACCACACCCTGCTGTGCCCCCAGGCCGTGCTCTGACCTGCCCTTTGTCTCTTTCCAGTGGGATGTGCCAGAGGAAGCCAAGTGGAGGCAGCGACGCCTGACAGCGTCCCTGGGCTGGGCCTGTACCCGCTGCCCTCGGTACCTGTCTCCAAAGTAAGTCCTGTGTCCCTGACCAGCATGTCCTACTGACCCCCAGCCTGCTGTCCCTGTGTCCCTGTTAACCATGAACTTTCCCCAGGGAATTTGCCTTTGTGTGCTCCCCACAGCCAGTGCTGTGGAGCCTGCAGGGAGGTGCAGTGGGGAGGAAGAAGAGACTTTTCAGTTCGGAGCTGCTGCTGCTCTTCATCCCCTCGCTCCTGCTCAGCCACCTGCTGACCCTGGGGCTTGGGTGAGTGTCTGTGGCCCTCAGCATGGGGCTGGGGGAGTGTCTGGAGGGTCTCACCCTGGGACTGGGGGAGGAGGGAACACTCCTGCATTTGGGCTGCTCGTCCTCGGGTGCTGTCGTGCACTACTGCTCCCAGCAGCTGCAGTGGTCTGCTGCCATCTCCCCTTGCTCCTGGCTTGCTGGGGCCCAGCCCCCTGTACCAGTGCCTCACAGTCACTCTCTCCAATCCAGGATCTACATTGGGAAGCGCCTGGCAGCCTCCTCGGCCAACCCTCTGTGAGGATCTGGGCAGGCAGCAGAATGGGAATATGGGGAGAGCCCGGCCCCAGCGCAGCCTGACCGCTCCCAGGCCCCTTGTTCGTGGCACGAGGCGCCTTCTCCCCGTGTCTCTCCCTCAGCCCTTGCCTCAGGAGCTGATCCCACTCTCCCCCATAGACCAGAACCTGCTGATGGCAGCTCCCAGCTGCAGGCAGCCCCTGCCCTCCCCAGCCCCTGGTTACAGGTCCAGGTCCCCCTGTAACAGACTGTAAATACAACTGAGCCCACCTGAATAAAGAGCCCTGTGCCAGCTCAGGGGCTGAGCAGCGAGTCCCCTCCCTGTGTCCGGCCAGCCCAGCCTGGCTTGGGAAGTGACCACTGGAGTCCCTGTGTTTTGGGGTGGTGCCAGCTGGGCGTGAGTCTCTGGGTGGGCTGTGGGCAAGCAGGGGTGGCTGCTGGGGCTCACACGGTGCTCAGCCCCACGCAGGTGCTTGGCTGATGCATTTGCCCTTTATTAGCCGTGGCTGCAGTGCAGAGGCAGGAGCTGAGCGTGGCATGGCCAGTCAGGGCAGTGACACCTGCCAGGTGGCGGATGTGGACAGGAGAGGTGGCACTACAGAGTATGAGGCTGCCAGGGCCTGTGTGCACACCTGGCTGTCTCCTGTGTGTCCTGGTGCTGCAGGATGGGGTGGGCAGCCAAGGGATGGGAGCTGTCCCACCAGCCGGGAGCAGGAATCACATGGAAATGCCACTGGGGAAGTCTCTGGCTCGCTGCCACTGGCACAGTCTGTGGGCAGCTCGTGTGGAGGGAGGCATGTCCTCATGGCTGGGAGGGGCTGCATGTGTGGGAGCTCAGTATGGCTCCAGTGGCATAGGGAGCATCCAGGGCCAGGTGGGTCCCGGCCCCCGGGGACACCTGGAGGGTGGCAATAGCCAGAGCTGGCGGGACACGGGGTGGCAGTGCCTGGTGCACACAGAGACTCCCATGGCCATGTGGGGTGCTCTGGGTGTCAGTACTGCAGGAGGTGCTCCAGCAGGTGAGAATCAAGCAGGGCTGTGGGTTGGGCAGCTGGCTGGGCACAGGGGCACTCTGGGCAGGGGTGGCCCCTGCAGACAGTGCAGCTGCAGGTGGCATCAGGTCAGAGCTGTGACAGTCGCCTGGACTTGGGTGGCGGCAGTGGCGGTGACTTGAGGCTTCTGTTGCCATCCGCTGTCGGGGATGTGGATGCCTGTGAGCAGAGAGGGATGTGAGTGGTGGTGGGAATGGAGGCCAGGGCCAGCCAGTGCCTCCCCTCCTGTACCTTCCCTCCTGCTGCAGCATCACTCTGCTCCAGGAATGTCTGGTACACCGCAGGGTTGAACTTGCGGGGCAGCGGTGGGAGCTTGCTGGCGCTCTTCACACGGCCACCAAAGCCAGTGGGAGACAGGGATGAGCCTGTGCGGGCAGGAGAGGTGGGATGGAGGCTCAGCCAGCCTGGGGGTGCATAGGGCCCATCGGTGTGCCCAGGGCTGTCGGTGCCAGCACTCCTGCCTAGGGGAGCATGGCAGTGCTGGGCAGAGGTGCCATGGGCTGTGAGCCCAGCCAGAAGCAGGGAGCTGGCTCCCACCAGGAACAGCTCTTGGCACCAAGACCCAGCGGCAGAAGGTCCAGGAGCAAGGGCTGCAGCCCCGCAGGGAGTGTTCAGCAGGGGATGTCCCTGTGTTCCCTCTGTGCCACCACAAGAGGGTGAGGGGACCTGTCCCGGGGGTGGTGTGGGAGGGCACAGCCCTGCTCGTGGGGCTGTAGGGACTCTCAGGAAGGTGGCCTGGCAGGTTGTACCTGCAGCGCTGGGCTGAGCGTCGGCAGCAGCTCGGCTTGGTGGGGGCTGTTTCCCATCAGTGCTCAGGCTGCTCTCGCTCATGTTGCAGGAGAGTCTCCACTTCTTGTCCTGGGACACAGAAGGAAGGCTCAGCGCCTTGGAGGGCCAGGCTGGATGGCAGCCCCTGCAGCCCTGGTTCTCCAGCCTTGTGCCCATCCAGCTCCTGTTCCTGCCCTCCCTGCAGCAGGGGCTGCCACCAGCCCCTCAAGGGGTCCCATCTGGGCTGGGGGCTCTGGGTGCAGCAGGACACCCAGGGGAGTGCGAGCAGGGCCCCAGGGAGGCACCAGGGCTGTGCTGAGCATCACCTTGGGCTCTGGCAGCTCTGAGATGGACTGGCGTGGGTCCTGCCGCCAGGGCCCGAAGATGGAGCTGGCGCGGTTCTCCTTGCGCTCGGTCCTGCGGTCCTCGCTCTCAGAGGGGCGGGGGGCAGGCTTTGGGGTTGGGGGTGCCTCCGTGCTGTGGGGTGACTGGGACAGGTGAGGGGCAGCAGGGGAAGGAGGAGCAGGGCTATGCCATGGACTCAGCAGGGAAGGGTTGGGGGACTAGAGTGGATGGCTCAGGTGACAGCAGTGTCCAGGTGAGCCAGGGGTGTCTCTCCTCCATGCCCCCCATAGGGACAGGGCCACCATGGTGGCCTGGCAGGATGGACCCCTGAGATGCACTTGGCATAAAGGGAAGGTGGAAGGGCAAAGGACTTGGGAGGTGAGAGAAAAGCACCTGGGCTTTTTTTCTAGAGTGAGAAAGGCTCAGCAGGGAGGGCTGAGGGCAGTGAGAGGGGATGACCAGCACTCCCCCCTGCAGCACTTGCCTGGCTCCAGCGTGGCTCAGCCGGTCCCAGTCAGGTACCCAGGCTATGGACCGGGGTCGGCCGCTCCGCCGGTCCTCAAAGAACATCTGAGACAGCCAGGAGGGGTGAGAGGGCAGAGCCTCCCCAGCCCATCCCTAGTGCCCTCTTGTCCTGGGGTGACTGTGATGTTAAATTGTATCCCCTCTAACCAGTCCTGCTTCTGTGCCAGCGCCAGCCACCCCCAGAAGGGCTGTTCCACCTCCCAGGGCAGGCAGGGACCCTGAGGTCCCCCATGCCCAGTGCTCCTCACTCTGTTCCTGCCCCAGCTGTGGCCTCAGCCAGCTGCTCCCTGCTGCCCCACACCTGCATTGGCTTGTCCAGTGTCACCCCCATGGTGCCAGGCACTGCCTGTGACCCCCAGCCGTGGCTGCCCCGTGCCCACCGCCGTGGCACTCACCATCTCGCGCATCCCGTACTGACTCTCCACCTTGGCCCGCAGCTGCTCAAAGCACTGCTCCATGCGCTCGTGGAAGGGCCGCAGGTCCTCTGTCACCTTCTGCCCGTGGATCCGGATTCCCTCTGCCAGCAGCGGGATCTGTGGGAGAACGGAGACTCGTGGGGCTCCCTGGGATGGGAGGGGACAGCGGACACCGGGGGCAGCTGTCCCTGCCAGAGGGCTGCTGCACCTGGTACCTGCCAGGCGATCAGGTCCTTCAGCTTCTCGATGTTCCCTGCATCCTCAGGGTGCTCCTGCACGTAGGGCTCCTGGAAAAACGCCTGCAACGACCCTTCCTCAGTCCCACACAGGCCAGGGATGGCAGAGCGGTGCCAGGGCTAGTCCTGGCTGTGCCTGGCCGGCCCTGACGTAGCCCCTGCGTGTCCTCACCTTCTCATACTTGGCAAAGCCGCCCATGACCGCGGGGTCCACGATGCCGTTGAGCAGCATAGAGAGAGGGTTGATGGGCAGGCTGGGGTCGTTCTGGTGCCGGTTGATCTCGCTCATGATTTTCTCGTTGGTTTTCATCATAGTCTCAATGGCGTTTTCCAGGGGGGAGATGATGATCTGTGTGCAGGGAGGGCTCAACACTTGCTGGCACAGCCACCTGCCCCTCCTTGTTAAGGCTGGCAGGGTGGGCTCTCCCCAGCCCAGCAGGAGGGACCCCTGGGGCTGCACATCTCACCCCATGAAGCCCCTCAGACCCCTAGCACCAGGTGCCTGGGGCTGAGTGAGAGCTCATGGGGATGTGCTGGCCATGCTGGTCCCCGCTCCCAGCACAGGATCAATCCCATGGGCACAGGGGGGCTACAGGAAACCTGCCTAACCACTGGTGTCACTCTGGGGGTGCAGCTGTGCCGCAGTGGGGTGCACAGCCTGAGCACCACGGCAGACACACGTGCAGCACTCATGCAGCCATACGTCCTTGTGCCCGCAGCATCCCGTGACAGCCCAGCCAGGACATCCTGTGACAGCCTAACAGGGCACATCACATCTCCACTGCCGTGCCGCCTGAGGCTCCCTGGATGTTGGCCGAGCCCCTGCCTCTGACAGAGGAACAAAGCCCACACACGGAGCCGTGGCAGCAGTTGCTGACACCCCTCCAGCACCTCTGCTGCTCCCCACACGCTGTCCCTGCTGCCCACAGAGCGTGCCACAGGCAGGACACGCTCCCCATGGCCCAGCTTGAGCTCCTGGCAGGGCTGGGATCCATCAGGATCCTGGGAGGGCCCTGTTGCCCCCCAGCTCCCTCCTCACCGTTTCAGTGGAGGTCACAACAAACCAGCGCAGGATGCCGGGCAGGGGATAGGCTGTCCTGAAGGTTGTCCGCTCAATCCACATGTTCTGTGGGAAGAGCAGCAGTCACTCCCCGCCCCCCTCCTGTCATACTGGGTCACCCCTGGCTGCCCCATGGCATGGGGGGCTCCCACCTCCATCAGGAGAGGACCACCAGGACGCCACCTTCCCCATCCCAGGACCGGGGATCCCCTGTGTCTCCTCTGGACCCTTAGCTGACCCTGTCCCTCCCAGCTGGGGGTCCTGGCAGCTCCTCCCAGCACTCACTGCAAATTCATTGTCGGGATCATTCGGGCCCCTCTTGAAAGGCCGTGAGTAGCTGAACCGCTGGATGTGGTTGGCTTTGTAGAAGCTGTGGGGAGGGGAGGGACAGAAATGGGACAGGACCCTCACTGTGTCCCACCCACCCACCCACAGGGAGCAGAGCAGGGGCTCCCTGTGCTGGACACTCACTTGGTGATCTGCTCCGGAATGCTCCGGCCCCTGAGCCGGACCTTGGCTTCCTCTGCAGGCTGCACGGTGAAGCACTGGATGTCTGTGGGAGTGAAGGAGCCACAGGCACACACTGGAGGACAGGGCTGCTGGGGAGAGGGGCTCCAGAGCCCTGAGGGATGAACCCCAGGGCTACAGAGAGGCACGTAAGGAATGGAGAGTGATGGACAGCGACCAAGCCACCCTCCCAGCCCCGTCCCTGTGCGCAGAGGATACACTGCCCTGGCGAGGCGGTGATCTCCTGGCCAGGGGGAGATGTGCTCTTCAGCTTCTCAGCATTGGGGAAGGGGCTCAGCAGCTGCATCTCAAAGTCCTCACGCCGCTCGTACTCCTTGCCGCGGTAGATGAAGACCTTGTTCTGCAGGGTAGGAAGGTGACAGCTCATCCCTGTGC